AAACAGTGGGTCCTCACCAGGCTGTGTAGTTTGCTTCATCTCTAAAGAGATGCTGCTCTTTAATATTGTTTATTTACTGTCTTAGTTGTGTGTGTGTGGTGTTTAATTTACATTTTGTTGTTCTTTGGGGTTTCTTTTATTATTCAAGTGCATTTTTTGTTAGAGACHGAGAGTCCACTTTGTTAAACATTCTTTAAAAATTAAAGTTTATTGATTTATTACACTTACATATTACGCTTTTATAATTATTAGATGTAAAATGGTCACCAGGCAATATTATCGCATATCACAATAATCTGTGAGACAGTTAATAGCCCAGCAAAATTTGTTATCATGACAGGCCTATTCATCCTCTTTATTGATAAAAATGTTCAGTGTTAAATAGTTTGTTGCATATTGTATTATGTCGAAAGCATCAAAAATGTATCACAAGCATGTAATAAAGCTATATATAAATAAAATTAATCAATTAATAATATGATAAATTAAAATGAGAAAGATAAATTAAATGAGAACAATAACTTTTATTTGCATGTGTATGGTCTCCTAACCTCTGTAGCATGAGAGCCCGTGAACAGGCATTTAGCCAGAGGAGCATCTTCAGTTTTCTGACGTCTTCATTCAGCTGGTGACGCACTCAGGGCATCGTGCTAAACCTTGGGATTGCCAACAGTTGTTGTTTCTTTTTGCACCATTTAAATTTTAATGTAAACCTCCATAAACAGGGAGGGTTATATCATTACATTAGTTGAAACTGGTCCCCAGCAGTATTATCGTTGATCACAATAATTTCTGAGACAATTTATCGTCCAGTAAAATGTATTATTGTGTCAGAACTAGTTATGACCTCTCCTTAAATCTTTGCAGCATCAGAGCTGGACAGATGACCTGCCTCTGTGTCAGATGTGTGGGGTCGGCACAGCACCCAACTGTGTGTACAGCCCAGATGGTAAAGGATCTCAGAGCCACCCCATGGAAGATGGACACCTCAGGTTGAGGTAAGTAAGACCCGAGGAATAAGAAAAGTTTTTGTACATTCACGTCCAAAAAAATATATATATAATAATAATATATACAGTGGATAAAATAAGTATTGAACACATAACCATTTTTCTCAGTAAATATATTACTAGAGGTGCTAATGATTGCTCAGGTGTGATTTTGGCCCATTCTTCCACACAAACAGTCTTTAAATCTTGAAGTTTTCGTGGACCTCTTCTATGAAC